CGGTGAAATCGCTGGCTCGGAAGCCCACACTCTCCTTTGCTGGATTACTGTAGCCTTGAGCAGGGCGACAACAATTCAGCAAGGGTTATTTGAGTGTGTGTCTGGTATGCGAGGGCCCCAGGCTTATATAGGGGCTGCTGGGCTCCGCCCAGTCAGCCCCCGATTTCCGATATTCCCGGCGGGGAATTTCGGAATTCCCCGCAGGGACTTTCGAAACTCCCCGTGGGCCTTTGCGGATCGGCCCCGAGGGGCTATGCAAGCCTGAGGGCCCGCCCATGCCCTAGATTTTGGGACTCCCTTTCCCGAAGGGTCGGTAGGATCCGACAGTTCCCTTGTAAGCATGTCCGCGCATTAAAGGCTGATCTATCTGCCTGGCAAGGTGGATTAGTGTTTAAATCCTACCTTATATAATTTGGTCGCGTATCTTTGTGTGTGTGTGTGTGTGTGTGTGTGTGTCCGGCGCCAGGGAGGGCTACTTTGCATAATTCCAAAAAATACAAATTTCCTCATTCTTGCAAGTTGCACGCGTGGGTGTGGTCGGATGAAGGGAGGGGTCCGAAGGACCCAAGCTATCGGAAAGTCTAATTTCTCATGCAAAGGCCGCATTCCAGCGCCCAAGGCCCGCGAAGCGGGTTTTGGGCGCTGATACTTTTATAATTATCGTACAAGTCAGTTTAGCTATTGACATTTTCAAAAATCCAATTAGCATATCGGCGCACTATGGCTTATGAAACTGCCTGCCAGCTGACCTGATCCCGATCTATTTTCCCCTCCTTCCTTCTCCTCCTTCTCCTCTCAATTAACAGGGTCACCAGAAATTGAGCCCGCATGGAGAAGGGCCTCTCGATTGGCAGAATGCCAATAAGCCTCTCCTCTCTTCTGCCTACCCGTCATTCGTATTCTATTGGAATCGTGTGCTCCTTCTCAGGAGATCGAGCTATTCGAGTGCTACGCGTCTTTTTCCTACACCTAATTAGTGTCTGCCAGCCAGTGGGGGTCAATGATTTTAAATTTTTTGTTTTTAAACATTTTTCAAATTCTCTTTGCCGAGGCTCACGGAATTGAAAGTTTTCGTTTTTACTCGTTTTTCGGTTTTTTGCTAAATTAATGTAATTTCTGCCATTTAGCCTAATTAACTGGTCGTAGTTTGTAGCCGAACGGAAATTCCGCTCAATTCCTCCCCAGCCGCTCCCCTAAAAAAAGGGCGTTATTTCCGTGGTAATCGGAGCCCCAAGGCTCACTAGTTATGAAATATCAAATCAATCTTTTCTCTCTCTCTCTCTCTCTCTCTCTCTCTCTTCGTCTTCTGCCATCCACTCTGTAATATGAAACCGATGCCAGAAGCGGACACGCTTTCAGCTTCTTTTTGTGGCCATTCTTTCTGTTGAGTGTCAGATTGGCCATCTACATACCAGATGGTTACAGTCGCTTCGCGACTGCAACCATCTGGCCTTCAATACCCTAAATGTCTCCTCCACCACATCCTTTCCCACCTCCATCAATACCCCCATAGCCGAAATCTCGTTCAAAAACTACCTAAATGCCTTCCTGATGGCTGCAGATACCCCCATGGCTGAAATCCCCTTAAAAAACTACCTAAATACCTTCCTGATGGCTTCAGATTGCTCCCCTAGCCGAAATCCCCTTCAAAAACTACCTAAATACCCTCCTGATGGCTCAGATACCCCCATGGCTGAAACCCCTTAAAACTACCTAAATACCCTCCTGATGGCTTCAGATACCCCACATGGCTGAAACCCCCTTCAAAAACTACCTAAATACCCTCCTGTTGGCTTCAGATACCCCCATGGCTGAAACCCTTCAAAAACTACCTAAATACCTTGCTCATGGCTGAACACCCCATGGCTGAAACCCCTTCAAAAACTACCTAAATACCCTCCTGATGGCTCAGATACCCCCATGGCTGAAACCCTTCAAAACTACCTAAATACCCTCCTGATGGCTTCAGATACCCCACATGGCTGAAACCCCTTCAAAACTACCCTAAATACCTCCTGATGGCTTCAGATACCCCATGGCTGAAACCCCCTTCAAAAACTACCTAAATACCCTCCTGGTGGCTCCAGATTCCCCCATGGCTGAAACCCCTTCAAAACTACCTAAATACCCTCCTGATGGCTCCAATATCCCCATGGCTGAAACCCCTTCAAAAACTACCCCTAATACCCTCCTTGATGGCTAGATACCCCCCATGGCTGAAACCCCTTCAAAAACTACCTAAATACCCTCCTGATGGCTTCAGATACCCCCATGGCTGAACCCTTCAAAAACTACCTAATATACCCTCCTGATGGCTTCCAGATACCCCCCATGGCTGAAACCCTTCAAAAACTACTAAATACCCTCTGGTGGCCAGATACCCCGGCTGAGCCCCTTCAAAAACTACTAAATACCCTCCTGATGGCTAGATACCCCACATGGCTGAAACCCCTTCAAAAACTACCTAAATACCCTCCTGATGGCTAGATACCCCACATGGCTGAAACCCCTTCAAAAACTACCTAAATCCCTCCTGTGGCTTCAAGATACCCCGCTGGTAACCCCTCCAAAAACTACCCCCTCCTCCCCCCCCTGCACCCCTCCAAAATACCTAAATCCCCCTCCCACATGGCTGAAACCCCTTCAAAAACACTAAATACCCTCCTGATGGCTTCCAGATACCCCATGGCTGAAACCCCTTCAAAACTACACCCTCCCCTAAATACCTTCCTGATGGCTTTAGATACCTCCCTAGGCGGGTGCCCTTAAAAACTAAATAACGACCGACCGGATACGTGGGAGAAAAATAGAAATGAAATGGCTCCCGTGAAAATTTTCATCCAGGGAACGCACGCCACCTGGCTCACTATGTACAAAATCATCCCAACCTCCATCCCCCTCCTTTTACTAAGGAAAAACTTTCCAAAGTTAATTTTAATAATTTAAACTAAAAGTTTTTCATAATTTTTTATCAGTTTGGGGGTTTCCGAGCCGCTCTATCCGAATCCGAAGAGCAGCTCTGGCTCCTTTCCCCTTAGTTGAATTCGGCTTCAGAAGGAGGGGACGGAGACCCCCACAGCAAAATTATTATAGTTGATATCCTTTTCCCTCCAAAATTCCTATAATATTTCAAACTGCAGGGTAAATTAAACTCATCAATCCTCTGATTGCCATCCAGCCTACCGTATCCTACTAGAAAATTTATACCCCCAATATTGTGGCTGTAAATTTGGGGAGTTGCTGAATTGTAGATGGTGTTTTTAAAGGAAACGTGACAGCTAGAAATTGAGGTTTTATGGGTTTTTTCGAACTACTGCCATTCATACAATCGGATTCCAGCCAAAATTTAACTCTTCCTGGTTCAATTCACGACTCTTAATGCTTTTAGTAACATTCGGATGTACCGGAAATGACTAGCTGGCTCTCGGCGCTAATCCCCCGGAATTTCGAAATTTCGTAAATTCCCAATTCCCGAATTCCCTTCCTCCTCTTTTCTGCCATTCACGCCACCCATCTAAATATAGAATCCCCCCGAATAACGCGCAAATTTCTTTTTCGGCTACGATAATTTCCTAACCTGACAGCCCCCTATATACCCACCACCCCTCGCTAATAGAAAACAAGCGATTCCCGCGGGACTCTCTCCAGTATATCCATGGATACGCCCGCAAAGGCACACACTCGGGTTTTTCTGGATTTTCCAGGCGGTTTTTGTCGTTTCGAAAGGAATATAGTGTATTTGGCTGGGAAATGAATACAGTACTCCTTTTTGTGATCAGTGGTCATCAATTTTGAAGAATTTGTAAATTGATTTGTTTATTTGTGTCTGTCTGCCACCTAGTGACCCTGGTTTTTGATAGAGGCCTAATCTGACGAAAAGAGCCGGAATTCAACGTCTGTTCAAAAATGCTCTATTTTCTGTCATAATTCAATTTACACTTTGAAACTGGCTAATCTGCCACCCGTCAAACCTGGATTGCAACGATTTATTGATTTCTATCGTCTGTCCCTCAGACAACAATTCAGTGACCCTAGTTCTCTAAAAATTATTTGTCTGTCTGTACAGACTTTTTTTGCCACGTTCCTCTACCTTGCCCTTCAGTTACCCCAAAAATGGCTTTCCTTCCAATCGGCTGCAAACTACGCTTCTTTTATGAGATTATCCCAGGCTGCCCTCCATGAGCTTCCCTCACGTGATCCATCAGAAGCCTTATATACCTCATTTCGATCTGGTCGTTTTTTACGCATGACAGAACAGAAAAATAGGTAATCAAAGGCCACAGCCCAGGGTGGCGGATTTGCGATTCATTGTATTGGGTATGGAATATGAATGAATAGAGGCTTTTGTGAGGCTTCTCCTGAGATTTGCCTCGATTCCTTCCTAATCCCTTCTTGAAAATCGATCCCTCCATTCCATCCATCTACTCCTTGTTTTTCAGTGACCCTTTGCCCACTCAATCTCTAAGATTTCTCCAGATCCAAGATCCGCCCTGTAAATCCGGGCTTTGATGATTTGGGCATTCTGAGTGCCCCTCTGGGGATCTGGGTAGCGCATTCCGCATTCCCTGTACTTTTGACATTTCTTTCCTAGTATCGTATTTTTTGGTAGGGAGGGTAACGGAACGGCCATCTAACTTTTGCCTTTTCTCCGGCAATAAGATGACTTTTCGTTACTTCCGGGACATTCTGGAAATCAGTGACCCTACTGTCAGGCGGGGAACGGAAATTGAGGGCTTCGACGGTGTGAAAGCGCCAATTAGGCTCCTAGAAACCTTTTTGGCAGTTCTGCCTGGCATTTTGCCCTATAAACTACAAATAGCTCTATTCTAGTCCTCAATTTTTCATAACTGTACTCCATATTACACCTTTGTACACTTTATTAGCGGTTTTGACGTTTTTGAGCATTTTGAGGCGCATTCTAGCCTCTAAACTACCATTTTTAATCATTTGATTTTCAATTTTTGCTTTCTGTACTCCGTACTACAACTTCCTACAGGCAGATGGACGGTGGATGGTATCCATCTACCGGAGACCCCATCCGAAACCTCGGAGTGCCACTGAAGAAGACAGCCTCATCACAGACTGTCATCTCTGCCCATTCTCTTCATCCAGACTACGCGACAATACCCTCCATACTACAACAACAACAGCAACCGCCACACAGTCCGAGGACACCTAATAACGGATCGCCGATGGGATCCCCTCAAGGAGCAAATCCTCCTGCATTGTCTCTGCCAGTTAAAGGAATACTCAGCTCCCGACAGGCACATAAACTTGGATCGTCGCCAAAACAGGTAGGCTATGGAGTTTGTAGCCCAGCTAGGTATTTTTATTTCTTCCGTATGCAAGATAATCTGTTTGTGGATTTTATAGGGACTGAGAAGGTTAGGTTTTTGAATTGGCATCGTGCCAAAAGTTGAATGCCACCCAGATAACGCATGGCGTGCAAGCTCCTTTAAAATTGTAGTTTATAGTTCAGTTAGACCAAATTTTGAATTCTGGATGCCAGATAACCGATTGTCGAGCCTAAAGGGAGTCTAGATTTTCTTTTTAGCATCGGACCAAAAATAAGCCATTTTTGAACTAACTAGTTACCTAGTCCATTTCCCTGCCTTCCAAGTCCCTTTAAAATTGACTTACTGACTACTATGGCTGGCAGTTTGCACTCTGGATAATTCAGCTGTCCTTCGACGTCCCCCCATCTCCGGCTCTATCAGCCAAATCCTCCCTTGTCTCCCATTCGGCATCCTCTTCCGTTTTCGAGGGTCGTACGCGGCATTCCTTTCGACGAAAGGGCTCCGGATCGACACAACAACGCAGTTATCTTCAAAATGATCCCGATTTGACAAGGGATCCCAGTCGATTTCGGTGAGTGGCTATAAACTATACAATGTCCTAGGTTACGATGTACCGACAGGCAGTACTGTAGCTACAGTAATCAGATAGCGGTAAATTGCCTTTTTGAGATTTTGGCTGCCGTTCTGGTGGATAAGGAATATATTCTTAAATATGTCAGGAATAGGAAATAACTCAATGTTTTATTTAGTACGAATGTAATGACGCTGGTTAGACCAAAATTGTGCGTTCTTGAATGGGTGGTGGAAAAATTCTGAATTTTGGCCGAAATTTAGTTAAATGGTAGAAGAGTAATAGAAAGTTTTAAATTTTGAAGGTCTTGTTATTTTTCAAGCAGAACAAATTTCAGCATTTTACACCTTTTTACTTCTTCATTCGCAACTCGCTCAAATCCGCTGCCAATGGCTGATCTTTTGCAGTTAGTGTCAGAATGATAATCTTTAGTATACAAATTTTACCTGATTCTATGGTATTCTTGTTGCTTGCTAAAACGTGCCCCAGAGGGATACTGTAGTTTTTGTTTTCGCGTTTTCCTTGACGCAAAGCTGCGTCTCGCTGAAAATTTTATCATTGGTAAAAATAGTAGGGTCACCGATGGGCTAAATAACGCAGTTCTAGCCACACTTTCCAAAAATATGCAAAATTATTTTTGATTTAGCACGAAATTTCTCGATACTTGAATGGGTCGGACCGAAAACTACTATATTTCTTTTCCCAAAAGATTGAAACGGTTCTATGGTGGAAAAACCACGAAAACCACAATTTTCTGTTTTCTACGTAACCCGTCTGGAGCGCATTTTAGCTCCAAGAAAAATTCCATAAAGTGTTTTTCGGTTTAGACTCTTCTCTGGGTGATTGTAGAGCCCAGGCAAAATACTTATTTTCTGTGGTATGACAAAGTTATGAGGGAAAGGGAAAACCCTCCTCGGGCTGATTTTGGATCTGAGGCCCGGGTCGAATATCAATTTTTGAAAATGAAAAAAGCACCGGGTTTAGTGGATACAAATAAGGCTGTAAAACCATGCTGACCGTAAAATTCTGAATGTCTGGTGAAGTTTATGGTTCATTTGGTTTAAAACCAAAATGACGTTTTTTCAAAAGCTGACTTTGAGGCTCTTCAAATTCGTTGCGTCAGCTTTTTTTGCATGGGTTCTAGTTGACTCAAGCTTGGTTTTGCTGGAAGTGTCTGTAGGCCTCGAGAATTTTTTTACGGGCCTCAAACTCCGGCATTTGGGCTCCTCATGAATTTCTTTGACAAATTGGTGGCCCGATCAATTTGTGAATGTAATGCAAGAATGCGCCAGTTAAATAGTATCAAATAAAATTATACGAATTTTAACGTCGCAATTAAATTTTATAGGAGGTATCAAAGTTGCAAAAAGCACGAACCAAACGTTTTAGAGGCCTTAAAGGCGCCTCAAGGGGGTACGGTAGCTCAGTTTTATCAATGATAGATAACCCCAGCCCTGCATAATTAAAAAGAAATGGCTGGTTCCATCTGGAACTTTAGATATTTTTCCAAAGTGGTTTCGTCGCCAAAAGATCCATGGACAGGGGTCGTCGAAAAACTTGAAAAATCATCGATCTCAAAAATTCTTTAATAATTTTTGCGTTGTGTTGGGCTCGTAGGTAATCTACAACACTTGTTTTGACTTTCCACCAACAGTTTTTTTTAATATTGAATTTACGTTTCTCCATATAAAATTTCAGCCTAAATAACTTTTCAACCGACCCTCAAAATTCTTAAATTTTGTAGGTGCATTCTGCTCTTACATTGACTTACATAGTAAAAATGGCTAGTCCCATACAAATTGAGAAAAAATGCAATTGAGTTTCCCCGAACGCACAGTTTTTGGGTGTCATTAGTATGGTGCGTCGCTGAAATCGAAATCAAGTTGAGTTTTTCCTATTCTGACATATTTAAGCATTCTTGGTAATGGGTGAATATTTTTCCTTTTCGAGAATTGGGGCAAATGGCCTTTTTTTGTCCCCTGTTTTGTCCCTCAGAAATTACCTGTCTTAACTGGATCCTCTTTCCCAAATCAGTGACCCTCATCTCCAGACTGGCCACCCTAACCCAACGAAGCAACTCTGAAGCGTGTTTCCCATCTCGGAATCTGTTATCTGCCCAACAATTGGCATGCCCTCCACAACGAAGATCATCAATGGCCATTCTACCGTCAAGAGAAGCCGCATTAATGAGGAGAATCCTTGGTCCACAGGGGCTCGGGTGGATTGCTGGTACGGTAGGATGGCGTGTTTTCTGCCAGTTTCGCAATTTCTTTTCGTTACGGTATATTTAACTGCCATGCACACTACCGGGTCAAAAATTTAAAACCTATAAAGCTATCTATACATTTGCAAAAAAAATTCAAAAATTTTAAATTTAGGATTTTGGAAGCGATTCGTAAAAATAAAATTGCCAAAACATCGATTACCAGACAGTTTCTAGGTGGATTGAAATAAATTTAACTTTCAGGTGAACAATCCTCGAAAAAATCAATTTCCCTGGTGCTGAGCAACGATGTGGAGGCACAAAAAGGGGACGACTCGGAAACGCCGCTAATGAAAGATCATGACAGCAAACAGTACGTTACTTTCCAATATGCTTTCAAAAAATTTTTAATGAAATTTTTTGGCTTTTTAAAACGATTTTTTTAAATCACCGGGTAATCGGAAGTTCAGATTGGCTAGAAAACTGCGGAACACCGAATGGTAAGCCGGAAAAACGAAATATTTGCAAAAAAAACGAAACGCGTCTAACCACGGTTCTCGATTTCCATGTCAAATGGTCTCTGCTAGCGTGCCCTGCCCGAAATCGAGAGTGCCATTCTATAATTTGTGTGCCAACTCATTCACCCACAATTCATTCATTCGAGATATCATCAATCTGCCGTGTATCTAGAGGAATACTGTAGAAGTGGCAGATATCAGCTTGGAGAATTATCGATTTTTCAGGGGTGGCCGGCTGCTTCATCGAGAACAATATTATGAAAAGAGGAGGCAGACATGTGATCGAGCATTGGTTTTTGCTATTGCTGGCATTGGTAAGTTTTTAGATTACCTATTTTAAAGGCGACAGTGACACCTAGGGGATCCATTTCCGACAGTTTGGCTAGAAATCGAGAAAAACATGGATTTCCGGCTCGAGAATCCGTTTAAATAACTTTTTCGTGTTTTTAATAGGCTGACTGAATGCCAGAAAAAACCATTTCCACTGTTAAAATAAGATTTTAACAAATTTAACTCGAATTTTTCAGTTTTAATGGTGCTGGAGAGCGAGTTGAAAGCCAACGGATTAATCGATAAGGTTGGTTTTGAATTATTTTGGCTTTGTAGTTTGTAGTTTTGGTTTTCTGCCTGGCAGTCAATGGGATTTTGCCGGAATTTTCTACAATTCCCGTTTTTACACTTTACGGGGTTTTACACGTTGTGATCCCTATTTTTCAGAGCGGCACAACGAGTGTGGCATTAAAATGTCTAATAATGCTGTCAACAATGGCCCTTCTCACACAAGTCTTCTTTTTCTATTACATCAAAATACAGGTAAATCCGACATTTTTGATATTTTAAAGGGATTGGCAAGTCGACCGGTAGCCAGTTGGGCTTTTGCAAAGAAACTCTGCTAGTTTCCCCCAGAATCTAATTTCTTCGCGTCACGATTGCTTCCTGCATTCCGTCCGAAATGGTCTTTGCTAGCCTGCCACGACTTGCAGGAAGCCTTGGGGTAAACCCTTTCCAAATCAGTGACCCTGCCTGAAATCGATTTTTCGCAGGGAACCGCTGCTAGCTACCCTCGTGTCCTGGAAATTTTTCAAGGTTCTCCCCTAGGCAGCTAACCTGCATTTAAAAATGTTAGCTGATTTCTTCTATTCCTCAAGGGTCTCTGCTAGGATATCCTCGTTTTAAAATCAGTGATTCTGCTTGAAAAAGCGATTTTTCGGCAAAGAAACTTTGCTAGCTTTCCGTGCGATCAATGGAAACTTTTCCTAAAGAGTCTCTGCTAGGCTGTTGGCATAAATTCAAAATGGCTTTATGTTTTGACTTGTGAAGCCCTTAAAATCGCACAAAACCTCCGGAAATTACCTCAAATTCTACTCCGTTTTCAGCTATTCATGATAGCAAACGCGGCAGATGATTGGCGGATAGCATTGACACCAAAAAGGCTTGTTATTGTGAGTTTTAAACAATTTGATTTTAGAAATTTTATGTAAGAAATTAAATATTGAAAATGTTCAGATCAGCGCGGAGGTGTTGGCATGTTCTCTCTGTCCAGTACCTATCGAATTCTGGAGGGAAGATTTGAAAAAGGTAAGGTTTTGGAGGGAGAGATTGGATTTCGGACAGACAGACTGACAGACAGAAAAACAGGCAATTCGACACACTGGCAGACAGACAGGCATATAAACCGGAAGAGAGTTTCGCAGACAGACATAAAAACGGTAAAATAGGCAGATAGACAGATAAACTGACTGGCAGACAGACAGACCAACCTACTAGCTATCAGGCAGACAGACTAACTGACAGACAAACAGACAATTAAATGACTCCTTAAGCCCCCAATCTGGAAGGGCAACCAAGCAAAGATCCATTAGGAATTCCCTCGTTTATCTTATCCAAAATAGATGAACCAATTGCAGTCGTGGGCGACATTAGAGGTTCTGCTCTCCCTCGGAATGTTCTTTCGTCTATATTGGTTATGTCGAGTGATGCTTCTTCATTCCAAACTATTCACCGATGCATCCAGCAGGTATTTCATTGAGTTAGCATTTAAAACAGTTTTGCCAACGGCAATTTCTCGGTTTATTTGATCTTTTGCCATACTGGCGTCCAAAATATCCCGGGCAGGCTAGCAAACACCATTTGAGAAGAGAAACCTCGTTTTTTGGTGCGAAATTTGCAGGGTCACTAATTTGGGTTTATCACGAACCAGCTACGCTACGTAATTAATTGACGCATATCTGTATATTCCTTGTAGTTAGCCAACTGGCATCCAGACTATAAAAGGGCAGGCTAGCCGAGACCATTTGCGGACTCAGAACTCAAAAAATTCGAGGGTCGCCGAATTTTGAGGCAGATTTTTCGGGAATTTTCTAAAGATTTTAAATTTGGTTTTATTGCTTTGTAAAATGCACCGTATCCGATCGATCGCCGGTCTGAACCGTGTGAATACAAACGCCCGTTTTATCCTGAAGACATTAATGACGCTATGTCCGGGTACTGTACTCATTCTATTCACCGCAACACTATGGATTGTCGCCGGGTGGATTTTGCGATTTTGTGAAAGGTATCGTAATTTTAAAGTGTGTTTTTGGTTTGTCTGGCTGCCAGACTACGAACTCCAAACCAAAGAAATATCGAAAACCTTTGCAGAAGCGATCTAGAGATGGAGAATGTGAATATGTCAGCAAATCCGAGCAGTACAAAGGGGAGACCTGTCAATTATCTGAATTCCCTCTGGATGATTGCCGTCACTTTTCTATCTGTTGGATACGGTAAGTCATACTGTATTTATCACCATTTAAAGGGATTGGCAAGGCAAATTGGCTATGGAATTTTGCCAGTTTGGACCTGTTTTTGGCATACAATCTCGATTGGCTTCCAAAAACGCCGAAAACCGCTTTAAAGGGGTTGGCAAGGCAAAATTCCCCATGGATCCTTGCCAATTTAAACTTGCTGCCTTACAGTATATCCAAAAATCAACTATATTTACATTTTTGTGTATTTCAGGTGACATCGTGCCTCATACATACTGTGGAAAAACGATGGCCGTCATCACGGGAATTATGGTCAGTTTTGATGGTTTTATAAGAATTTCTGCTATTTGACTGCCAGCTTACGGGCTTCCCACAAAGAATCCCTGCTAGCTTGCCCTACACAATTTTTTGCGACGCATAATGCTCACGGCAGCCAGTAAAAATTACGATCAAACAACTCTGCTAGCTTCGCCCCGATCATCCATTTTTGGCCGATAGTCCGCCAGATGGCATCCAGTTTACGGGTTTTCCACAAAGAATAACTGCTTGCCCATAAAAATCATTTTCCGCAAGTACGTCAGCTAGTTGGCCGCCAGCTAAAACATTTCACTCAAAGAATCTCTGCTAGCTACCCCGGGCGGGTCTCCCTCTGAAGATCTCTGCCAGTTGGCCCCCAGTTGGCATCTTTTCCCCAAAAAATCTCGGCAATCTCTCCTTTTCAGGGTACCTGTACCTCTTCAATGGTTGTGGCAGTGATAGCCCGTAAATTAGAGTTGTCTCGTGCTGAGAAGCATGTTCATAATTTCATGATGGAGACACAACTCACTAAAAAGGTACAATTTTTTTGTTATTTAGCATTATTTGGTGCTTTTCTATTATTGGGGGGGAGCAATAATGCAAAAAATCGGGATTTTCGACGAAAATTAAAATAGAAGAATCTTTTTAAATTGATTAAATTTTTTGTTTAAATCAATTGAAGTTTAATGAAATCAAATTTTTTGACTTGAAATATAGCTGAATTTACTAAAAACTATTATTTACGATGATTTATGCGAATTGGATTGATAGCACCCCCCCCCCCCGATAATGCAAAAGAACCAATAAACTAAATATTGATAAATTTCAGTTAAAACACAGCGCGGCAAATGTTCTTCGAGAGACATGGTTCATCTATAAATATCGGAGATTGGTTGAGAAACCGGATACGGCACGGATAAGGCTTCATCAGAGGAAATTTCTTGTCGCCATTTATGCGTCAGTTTTTAAGGTTTTTATAGCGTAGATGCTTGGAAACTCCTCAAAGATCCCTGCTAGCCTGCCCATTGGCTAAACCGGCAGCCAGTTAAAAGAATCCATGATGCAAAAATGATTTCTGCTAGCCTACCTTTTCTAAACTAGATAATTTGGCTGCCGGCTGACTTGATAAACCAAAAAATAACGAGATCACTAGTACAAAAGCATCATTTCTCAATTCCCAAATATTCTCTGCTAGCCAGCTCGATGACACCCAAATTCCCTTATTAAAGGGATGCCGACGGCATAGCCAATCGGTTACGCGCTGGAAAGAAAATGTCTCTGCGCCTCTCCCCAGGGCGCGCTCTCTGCCCTGTTGGCTACTTGCCAATTTGTTGATGGGGGGATCGACACATGCCGTCGGCAGCCCTTTAATTGCCCAGCAGAAAATCGTTTTCCATCTCGTAATCGAATAATTTTCGGATTTTCAGCCTCCGAAAAGTGAAACGAGATCAGCGGAAACTACAAGAGAATTTTGTCTCGCTTGGCGACGTGGCTAGGGTGAGTTCAAAAACTGTTTAAATCGTCAAAAAAGCCTGAATTTAATTTCAATATCCAAGTCAATAATGAAAAAATCGGAAAATTTAGATTTTTGGGACTTAAAATTTCGAAAATACTTTTTAAAAAGTTAGAAATCTTAATTTTCATTTTTAAATCAAACAAATCTATATTGGATGGAATTAAATACCTTTCAGACGACGTCAAACACATACGAATTGGTGCAAGATTCTCATTCGAGTCAAGAAGGTCTTTCACTACGGATTACAGCCATCGAACATCAATTATCCGATATTTCCAAGTGAGTCGAGATTGTAAACCTTTTTCGATATTAAACGCCTAAATACAAGCCATATAACCCATTACGCCATGGAAATCTCGAGCAAATGGCTTCATTTCCGAAATTTGGGCAAAAAAACCGAAAAAATCAATCGATTACGTCATGAAATAGTTATGGCTAATACGTTATGCTATTTAATTTACTATTTTCTATTAACAAATCGTAATTGCCAGGCAGCTAACCCATTACGCCATGAAGTTCCGCGAAACTTGCCGAATTTCGAAAAATTGAGGCGAAAACCCGAAAAAAAATCAATCGGTTACGACATGAAAATATCTATGGCTCATACGTTATGCCATTTAAATACCAGTTTCCAATGAAAAATGAGAATTGCCAGGCAGCTAACCCATTACGCCATGAAAATCCATCAAAAATTAGCGAATTTCGGAAATACATAAAAATTCCAAAAAATCTATTACGTCATGAAAATGGGAATTTCTAGCGAATTACGGTATGTAATTGCAGAGAGCTGGGTAATCTGGCGGAGCTTCTTCGTTCTCGACGACGTTCCTCATATGCAAGTGGAGATGAGACACCACAAGAATCTCTCAGGAGACGCCATTTTGAATAATCCCATTTTTTTACCCGTTTCCTCTTTTTAAATCCTTTTTATTTTTAATTTCTGATGATTTGCTCTCGTGTTTTAAAGGGCTATTGAAGGGTGAAATCTTTAGACTACAAACTATAACTTCAATAGCTCTTTAAAACCCCAAAAACCCCGATCATCCATATCTACAGTATCCAAAAACGGGTTCCCATTTTTTTATTGCAGATCGCTTTTATTTTCATTATTTTTTTGTTATTAAAGGGATGGGTGGTAGACAGGTAGGCTAGCAGAGACAATTTGGGAAAGAAAAATGGTAGTTTAGCGGGTTTTTGAAGTTTTTAGAGTCAGGATAACTGAATTTAACTTTAAGGCTAGCTAGCAGGGATTCTTTGAGGCCTTTCCCAAAATCCCTAGTGAGCTCTGCTCGCTGCCCGTCAGTTTAACAATTGCCTCAAAAAGTAGGCTAGCAAAGATCATTTGAGAAAAGAAAATAATTGCAAAGCTAGTGGCACTGATTTTCCAAACCTGGCGAACCAGCAAAGATTCTTTAGGAATTTTCTCAACAACTCTAGTGATCTCTGCTCGTTGCCTGTCAGTTTAGCGATTAACTTCGGAAAAAGCCATCCATCCCTTTAAAAACCGGCAAAATGCTTGATGTGACGCTCCGTTTAAAAGCCCGGGCCTTGATACCGTACCCTTTCTCCCCGAGTGTCGAAATGTTGTGATGGCTTCTTCTTCTTCTCTATATTCTATATCCCCATTCAATTTGTTCAAAATACCGGTGACCTATGAATTAATACGCAACAATACAATGCACACACCCCCACTACAGTATACCATATCCTCATTGCACTACTTTTTATTGCGAATAAATATTATACGTACTTTCCGGCGGTATTAACCTAAAGCATGCATGACAGAAGAGAGAAATCCGGGACTACGGTACTTGGAAACTCGAAATTTGTAGTCCTACGTTCAAAAATAACCACCGTTATCCGCAAAAACACCTGCAAAACGCATTTCTAGCAAATTACTCAGCCGTGGAGTTTGTAGCCTGGACGTACAAACAATTAAAAACGCTGAATAACTTGTAATTTGTAGTCCTACGCTCAAAAAAACCACCATTTTTGGTGGAAAACCTGAAAAATACACTTTTTACCAAACTATTGGGCGCGTAATTTGTTGCTTATCGTACAAACGCTTGAAAAGGCCGAATTTGATAGTTTGCATGACAGAATAGAGAACTAAACTGACCTAACTTAACCAAGAACTGAACGGCTACGGTGAGCGGTAAAAAAGGAATGATTTCCAAAAACTTGAAATCCCCGGAAAAAATACTTTCTTGTAGCTTGTAGCCCGCCTGGAAAGCGACGAATTTAGCAGAACTACTCTTCAATAAGCTACGAGGATTTGGATATGTAGTCTGCACAAAAGGAACGATTTCCAAAAAAAAAAAAATGAAAATTACGGGTTTAGTAAACTCCAGTCCTGCCTAAAAACAACAAATTTAACGAAACTAGTGCTCACAGTACACAGCTTATGCAGCCCAAGCAAACACGCCACACTGGCGTATGTATTTTGTAGCCTCGCATCCGAGATCAATCCGAAAACTATAAACAACGTTCCATGCCTGGAAAAATACGCCTTTCTTGTAGCCTGTAGTGCAGCCTTCAGAGTTCCTAATTTTTAAAAAGATACGCCGATTCGGATAGAGGGTATCTAGCCTCGCATACAAAAGAAATCATTTCCAAAACGCTAAAAAGATACACTTTTTGCAGTCTTGAAAGCCACGATTCAAAAAAATTTGTTTGATTCTCGATAAAAGCAACTTTTGAGGCATGTAGTTTGTCGTCCAGACGTAAATTCTCGTACTCCGGGTAGGCACATATCATCTTTATAACACGTAATAACATTTCAAAATTGGGGGACATTTCAACGCCAGAGAGAGAGAGGGGGGAAGAGAGAAGAGGGATTATGAGATCGAAATCTGTCGACAATAACGAAGAGAACACGCGCGAATTCGATATATAAGGCATTTATGGGGGGAGAGAGATAGGGGGATGGATATTTGTAGAGGTATACACACACTGGAATATACGCGAAATGGGGGAAATTGGTTTAGAAAACAACGTCAAAAGAAATGGGCGGGGGGGGTAATGTTTCCTTGTTGATCTTGTGGCACTTCGTGTAGATGAGCGCGTGGGGCGTTGGTAGAGGACCTTCTTCTATGCTGTCGCTGCCGATGTGCCGGGCGCCGGATCTGGAAAAGCAAATTCAAAAAACATACACAATTGTTAAAAAACCTAGTTAAAAATACATAAATTCGTTTTAAAATCGAATTTAAAGTTTAGAAGTTTACAAAAATATTGTTAAAAGGCCTTGGAAAGTCTAAAAACCTAAAAAAATGAATAAAATAATATTAAAATCAAAATAAAAGTTTTGAAAATTACAAAAATAAGTCAAACTAGACTAGGGCAGTAGCGGAGACAATTTGCGGAAACAGGCGTACCGAGCTGCGGATGCTGTTGTTGTTGGTTGATGGAGACGAGCTCATTGTCGTTGACGGGCCGTCTCATCACCGTCTGTCTCACCAACACGAAACGACCGTTCTCGTCCTTCTTCACGAACGCACGGATTTGCCGCCTGCAAAGGATACCATTTTAAAAATAACAAATTTTAAACAAAACCATATATAAAAGTTCCAAGATAAATAAATTTTAAAATTACAAAATTTTGAAAGTCAAATTGAGAAAAGAGATCCTAAATACGAAAATCTACAATAATTAGAAAATTAAATTCAAGAAACACAAAATCAGATATAATAAAACTAAATTTGAAAAATCCAAAAATTTCAAAATTAAATTTGCTACTAAATATATCATAGTTTAAAGATTAGAAAAAACGTACTGCTCGAGTTTGGGCACAGCAGAAGGGGCAGCTGAGGAGACAGTGGATGATGGGCCGGCCATTTGTTGCTCCACGCACTCATCTTTCGGGAGATCACCTGAAAAATAAATATTAGAAAAATTGGCTGAAATTCCTGCTAGCAGCCCTCCACAAAAAGCGGAATAAAACGTACACATTGGGCCAACATCGGAGATTCGAGCAGAAGATGACTTGACAACACGGGCATTCCTTGGTCCCTGGCTGATATGGGGGGCTGAGCCACGAGAAGTCGACATTCCCCCCTCCATCTCATCGAATCCACGCTTCCCGCCTAAGAAATAAAATTAATTGGACCAAATCCGGATTTCCGCAAATTACCGCTGCTAGCCTGCCTAGAAAAAACCATATTCCCCAAGAATCTTTTGCTAGTTTGCCCCGCGGAATTCTGAATTTTGCCAAAAAGTTGCCTAGACCTCAAAAGCAAATTTCCGCAACCATCGTTGCTAGTCTGCCCATAAAAACGCGAACCAATCAAAAATCCCCAAATTACCACTGCCAGCCTGCCCCTATAAACCCAAGCACAAACATGAGTATTTTCCAGCTACAAAATTACTTTATTTCCTCGTGAATCGTTGCTAGCTTACAATTCTCAAAAAATTCAATGAACAAAAGTTCTCCAATTTCTTCCACTGGACCCTTCAAAAATTCCTAAAAAACGTACCAATTCCAATGGGCTTCTTCTCGGCCTCCCTTCCCGTCAATCCGGAATCCCCCGCCAACTAAAAACAACCATTCACTCAAAAAAAATGAATAAAAAACGAACGTCTTGTGATATCTTGAGGAATTCGCCGAGACATTTCTTGGCAGTGTGTACACTTGAACACAACTGCATACGACGGATCAGATGCTGAAAAAGAAGAGATAGAGAATAGACTACAAGATACAACAACTCACATAGCATTGCTGCTCGAGTTGGAGGACGTGATTGTAGATGACCGAGTCGCGGAAGTTGCTCTTTTGCGTGATCGTGTTCAACTCCGGTTTCATGTGGGACATTGGACCTGGAAAATCAAATATTAATTTAGCTAAAGAACCTTTGGGAATCGTGCAAACTAGCAGAGATTCTTGGAGGTATCGAAAACGATAAAAATTGGAAAAAGGCAGACTAGCAGGGATTTTTAGGGAATTTTCGGAAAGTTGGCGGCATTAGTTTGGAAAACCCCAAACCCCTGGAAACCAGCAGAGATTCTTAGAGATTCCCAGGGAGCTAACACGGATTTTTATGGCAATTTAAGCGGGCAAGCTAGCAGCGATTCTTTGACAATAAATAAAATTTCAAAAAATTGGCAATAGCAGAGAAACTTGCGGAAATCATTAGAAAAAACACGTACCAAGCCGAGCGATCGTAGCCGTCAATCTTTCATCCCGTTCGCCCATCGTGAACTTGTCGCCGAGGGCCGTCGTCTCCCCACTCGGCAGCATGTGCACCATTGTTGAACGATCGGCTGAAAAAAAACAGATAAATCTAGCTAAAAACAATTAAAAAATTTAACAAGCGCTTCATGCAAAATTTAGCGAAGAATTCCATAGAATTTTGCCTTTGCAATCCCTTTAATCGAAACATACCGGGATCACTGCTGCCAGCATTCGTCGAGAATTGATATGCAGTCATGGGGTTGAGTGTCCTCCTATTTGCCTGTTGTTGTATTGTGGGTACTCCAGTGTTGACGAGTCGAGTCGAGATGACGGCCGACGTCGCATTCATGCTGGCCACGCGTGAGATGCGCTACAAAAATTATATTTAAAAAAAACAGCGAAAAATACCTGTAGCTTAGTATCCTGGAGTACTTCTTGTGTCTTCTTGCGTCTCTCTTTCAGCGTCTCCATGAAGTAGTCGGGGTACAGGGTCTCCTCGAAGCCCACATCTGAGAATAAGAATTATTTTGAAACTTAATTTAACTGAATTAATTTAAAATTCAAACATAATTTTAAATAATCAATTCGGTCTAAATCAACATTTTCCTGGCGTTTCAAAAAGCGCCCTAGACGCTCTAAAATGACTAAAAAAGGTTACTAAACATTTGAAAAACTAAATTTAGAAATTTCTCAAAATATATTTTGAACTTTCCTAAATTTTATAGACTTCAAAAATTCGCACTAAATAACGAAAAGTCGCCAAAATCACTAAAATTTTGAAAAATGCACTCCAAACGTTACAAAAACTACAAAATGAATTTTTCCACCCAAAAAATCGTATAAAACGTACTGGAATGGATCCAGTGGTCAAAGTTGTAGTCGACGGTCACGTGGTACGTCCGGTCACGGGCATTCTGAATTCAAAAATTAATTCTAAAAACGTGAAAAACTCGTACCCGGAAATCCCTGACGCGGACGAACGCTGTGCACGAGGCGTGCATGTCTTCCGGCGAGTCGTGGCGCTGAAAAAAGGATATAAAGTGAAATACCCAGATTTAGATACCTTCTTGAGCATTTGGCGACTGTCGGAGTGGCATAGATAGTAGAGACACTCGTCGAAGACGCCGTACCGCTTCAGGCGGCAATCCTTCGAGTCGCCGGGCGTCTCTTGCACATGACGGATCCATTGCTAGAAAGAATCGGCTACAAACTACAGTGTAAAATATACCTCAAAGGAGGCAGCATCGTCAAAAGTGTAGCTCGAGATGGTCAGGTCCGGCTTACTAAAGCAAAATTAGTTTTAAAAAGAATAAAAATTGGTACTCGTGGGCAGACTGTAGATGGGCGATAAGGATGTCCTGCGAAGACATGTCGGCACTTCTCATCTGGGCCCCACACATTATGCAAGTCGCCTGAAAACGCGGGAATTAGCACAAAAAAAACAATGAAACAGGTTTTTATTTATTTTTAAAATCGTTAAAATTAAAAGGAATTAACGTATTTTCGACGCCCAGTATTTTAGTCGTCTAGAAAGCTTTCTGAAATGCAAGAACAATGACTAGAAATGTGAGCCCTAAAAATCGAAACTGCTAATCAAATTCACTGCTTTCAAAAAAGCCACGAACTTTAAGTTATTTTTAAATCGACGTGGCATTTTTTATGGAAAATGTGACTTTCTAGGATCTAGATTTTCCAAAAAATTCAAAAGGCAAATAAAACCAATTTTTTTAACTAATTTCTAATTAAAATTAAAAAGCTAAATAACTACCGTACCAACGGGAGCGGCTTGGTCTTCTTGCCGGACAACGTGTTATCCATCACCAACCGTTGACGCAAGTGCTGCTGCTCAAAGGCCCGTCGATACGGCTAAAAATAACACAATTTATTTTATTTTAAAATATCGATACCTTCTCATCCCTGTGGTGTGCAAGATTGTCGACAATGGCTTCGAATGGAGGGAAGAGATGGTCCGCCTCAGGGCCCGCTTTCGCCGAGAACTCGAAGACTAAAAAAAAAAGAATTGCGAGCCAAATAAATGAATTCGTACGTGCATTGCGGTGCAACACCTCCAGCGGCTCGTCGGTGAATTCGGCGTAAAGGCGCAGGTCGAAGATACTGATGCGCAGGCGCAGCTGAAAAGGGAAATTTTGAAAATCAAAAAATGGGATATTCTAGGACTTTTTTTTGATCTTTCAAAAACCCATAAAATTCTTTAAATAACAGCAGAAAGTTATTTAGAATGCTATAAAACACCGCCAAAAATGGCAGCGCTTTTTAAAGCTTAGAAGCATGAAGATTCCATAAAAATAATAAAAATGTTAAGAATCGGCATAAAAATTTGCCAAGACTTTTATAAAGCTACCAAATTCATAAAATTAGCAAAATAAATTTTCTGGACTATGTAGAACACGGGAAAATAAACTTTACGCTGTTTTTGAGCACTAAAAATAGTAAAAACTCGTTGAAAAACTTTTAGAAAGTCACTTCTTTTTACGATAAACCAATTTATACCTGCATCTCGTCACTCTGACATGTCGGATGGTGGTTGCTGTTGATGTAGCTCAACTCGGCGAACCCGGGCGTCGAGCGGAGCTGAAAAGAAAAGGTATTCAAAAACTTTCAAAATTGTTACCTTAGCCTGGCAGCTGTGGTTGACGCACCGCCAGAAGCACTCGTAGCTTTGGCTGTACTAAAAGAAGGAATTAACGGTGAGAAAGCGAAATTTACGTGATTCTCGACGTTGTAGAGGAAGCCCTCGACGGCCAGCTGGATTTGGCCCTTCTTGGAGAAGCACAGGATGACGTGCTCGTTGCCCTCGAAGTCCAGTGACTAGAAAGGAGGTTAAAAAGAGTAAAAATCGATCTTCAAAAGGGTATTTGCTAGATTGCCCCGCAAAAATCTAGCTTTTAGAGCTTACAAAACCTCAAATTAAAAATTAAAAAAACATTTTATTGGTATTTCTGAACTAAAAATAACGTTAAAAACTTGGTAAAAATCAATTTTAACGGATATTTGCTAGATTGCCCGTTAAATTATAGTTTTCAGCGTTTTAAAAACTACTAATGTAAAAAATAAACATTTTCTTCAAGTTTAGGCCTAAGAAGGGGGGTAAAAGACGATTCCGAAATAGGATTTGCCAGATTGCCTCAAGAAAATCTGTTTTCAAACTTTCAAAAGTTATAAATTTCAAAATAACGTTTATTTCTGCTCATCAACTAAAAATTTAGAGGGCTCAAAAAATAGTGATACCTTTGATAGCAGAGAGGCCAAACTGAGCTCGGGCCCGCCGACGGCCGCTTGTCCCACATCCAGCATGTCCTCCATCTCCAGCAGTTCGATGTTGCGCTAAATTCAAAATAGAAAAATACTTTATAATTATAAACCTCTCGGTTGTATACATCCCCAACAGTCTCTTCATGCCCTATCGACGGCTCTTCCCCCAGCCATTCGGTCACTCCTTCCTCGATCACCAGCTCGTCGTGGCCGCCCTGAAAAGAGGAAAATTAAACAAAAAACAAAAGAATGCACTCACCAAGCCACGGTCCATCATGCCGTCGTCCACATCAATCTGCACATCGTCCATGATGTTCTGAAAAAAAAAGAAATATACAAAGATCATGGATTCTCGGAGAGTATATGGAAAACAAAAAGTAACACATATTTAGAAAGCTCGAATTGATAAAAATATCGATTGGCAAAGGTCCAGAGGTTGAAAAATCCATCAAAAAAAGAATGGAAATTAGGTCCAGACTCACTAACATTGATAAATATTGACTCTAGAATCAGAGAGATGACGAAATAACCTAAAAAAGTCGTAAAACTAGGTCTTTACAGCCTATTCCATAGGTTGTGGCACCAAATTTTTAGCGAAAAGCCTCCAAAAATTGAGTAGGAACTTGATTTTGAGTACGACAAAAGACTGATTACAGGTGAGGAGGAGGGTTCAGACAGCAAAAAGGTTATGGCCTTCAGAAGGACAGCTTGGAATGTATCCAAATCGTTGAAATAGCCGATAAGAAGATGAAGGCAAAGTTAGGAATGTATTTCGATCTCTAAGCAAAGCATTATCACTCAAAAATCGAGGAAGCACAAATAATGACAAGCTGCGAGCCGTCTCAACTCTGTCCAGGTCCAGCAATACAGCTTACTGTAAAGTGTTTTTACTCAACTTGGAGTTTCGATTCGGGACCAAGTGCATCTTGTGCAGAATTTTTCGCTGATTCCGAATATGTTTTCCAAATTTGCTACGGACTTTTATTTAAAAATCATTTTTGGTAACAATTAGGCGGAAAAATTCAGACGCTGGCCCACTATTCCTTGTTTGGGGCTATGCTACCCAGGGTCCCTGAAATACCCTCTGACAGCACCCTACCCAGTTAGCACCATGGTGCATTGGCAAAGTACTCGCTTGCCAAGCGCGGGGCGGCGGTTCGAATCCCCCGCCCCGTATCATTTCTTTTGCTTTTTGCATAACAATCTCATTTTTTATCTAAAATGCTTGTTTTGAGCCGTAGGATGCTTGTCGAGCCAACCTCTAGTCAATTTTAACGTTGAAATTAATGAAGAAAATCGAAAACTATAACGATACCTTCATTTTGGTGAAAACTAGGGTCATAATTGCCGCATAACTTTCAGAATAACGGTCGGTAGCAAATTTGGAAAACATATTCAGAATCAGCGAAAAATTCTGCACAAGATGCACTTGGTCCTGAATCGAAACTCCAAGTTGAGTAAAAACACTTTACAGTTAGATAGCTCCTGAGTTATTAAAAAGGATTACAACCAGCTAAAAACGCGAATATGGAACTCTACGAAACGTACTGTCACTCCAAAAATCGATGGCACGCCCATTTTTCAAACCCCCGCGTCGTCTCCGCTTCCTCTAGATCACTATTTCAAAGCGAAAACCACTTCACGAGAAGCTTCCAAGAGCTGTTAAACTATAAAGTCGAATTCCGAGATAAAGCCCTATTCAAATGAGCGGTCTAGGGGAATGGTATGAAGTGTTGCGCACAATAGATGAGTGTAGAGAGTGATGGAGGGAAATATGGATGGAGGGAGGTCGGGGAAGGGATGGCACGGGGATTGTGTCGTATCCCAAGCCATCTTTCTCTTTTGGAACAGAGAGGGGTACGGTCGTTGGGTCAGGGCATAGGGGAGAGGGCGCCGGCTGACTGGGAAGAAGCAGCAGAATAAGCCGAGTTTACATGACAAAGCCAAGTTTTTAAAAAATCAAGAAATCAGGGAAAATGAGTGAAAAATTGGCTTCGATTTGGTCAAAAATGCACAGAAAAATCGCGATTCGGTGAAATTGCGCTCCGTGATACACGTATCGACGAGGTTACGTTAGTTTAGTTGCGCAATAGCGTGGAACAACGCCCTAAAAACGAAAAATTGGACTGACCGAAAAAAGCGCACCCGCGAACATTACGCTCCGTGCTACACCTATTGACGCTAACTGGTAGGATACGGTAGCTGCTCAGCAAATAAAAGCCAAAATGTGTTTGAAAACGATAAAGGTGTGTTTTGTTGTTTTGAAATTTCTTCTTAGCAAAAAAAGAGATTTGAGCTCGCAAAAAGCATAAAAAGGCGTAGAAAGCGCCGGACCACAGCTCGATTCATGGACAATGGATAGTTGTCAATTATATCTGGGTCTTACTTGTCGCGATTTTAGACCAAAACCCTGGCCAAATTCCGGAAGTTTATTAATTTGGCAGTATAATCACCTGGTAGCGGATGAAAGGTGAAAAGAACGTGTGATATCACCCCCAGCACGATTAGTGTTGGCAATAGAATTCAAGAAACCCTGAAAAAAATTGATAATATACTACATCTGGTGCTGAACATCTTGAACCATTTCAGATCGGCATCACTTCCGTTTCTCCTAGACGTCGAATTAAACGTAGAAATGGGCGTGAAACGACGGTGTTCCCCCTCCGCCTTCACCTACCAAATCGACGCTCCCATTCTTGCCGTTCCCCCAAGAACTACGAGAAGTCTTCTATGACATCCCGGCTTCTGGGAGAAGCACAATCTTCCAGCCACCATCAAACAGGTATTTTTTGAAGATACAGCTCTAAAATTTAATTTTAATTTAATTTAATGGTTTCAGCTTGATATGGGTCAAAAATCTTAGGAAGAAACCACTGAGTACTACTCGAAATAAAATATTAACAATATAAACCGTTAATAATCAATAAGGCTGCGATAGCGGCGAAGTCCCGGCGAGGTAACGGCCAGCATTTCGCCGGCCGGCCGCCGGGCGGCGGAAACCCGGGAAGTTCCCCTCTGTGTTAATAAAAAATACAAATAAAAAGCCTTACCACAGCTGCTTTTCAAGGGAATTGCTCTTTTTGTCGGAATTTCAGATCAAACCCTAGCGAAACTGCGCCCCAATTTTCTTGAATATTTTTTGGCGATGAGTTGAACTCGGCGGAGTCGTCGTAAAACGCGAAAAAATATCAGCGTTGTGAGGTAGCGGTCATCCAAGATTGGTAGATGGAATAAATAGCTCTGGTAAAGTTGATAAGATACCTGAATTCATTTCAGATTCACTAAAGCCCGTTGAGCTCTATAACATGTGATGTGAGAGGACGTTCAGGCCGCTAAAGCTCTATTTATTCGAGGCCCCACCCAGCGCGATACATTCGGAATCCAGTTGGGAATATTCGAGACATATTTCGAGGTGTATAAGGGGTGAACAAAGGGGCTTTTTCGGTGAAACAAAGTGTGAAAAGCCATTCAGCGCGACGTCTACGCACCACAGCCAGTCCGATCTGCATCTCGTCTGTTGATGGTCGTGGCATATTTCGAAGAAGATGATCACGCATCGCTTTCATATCCTGAAAAAACCTTTATATCGATTGTTTTTCTCTCTTTTAATCGTCTCTATAGACTTACAGCCTTTTTCCGGAGTACAATGGTGAATGTGACGATCATCGTACGGCTTTTATTCGGAGCTAGGGGATGCTAAAATGAATGTCTAATATTTCTAGAGCTCTCTCTCTCTCTCTCTCTCTCTCTCTCTCTTTCTCTCTCTCTCTCACTCTCTCCCTTACCTGCCGTGCCCATTTCTCAAATGTTTCAAAGAATCGTAATGAATCGGCCGCCTGGTATACACCGTCCCATTGGAAAAGCACTATCTCGGGTTCAGCTTCTTCCAGCTAAATATATAGAATTGCGGAGGTGGAACCCCGTGCAAGCATTTCCCTAGCAATCAAACCTAAAGCGTTCCTTTTAATCCTTTTAATAGAATTTAGGGCCCTAGTAGAGCAGAGATTACCACCGGGCAGGGCCATTTCAGAGCTCTTTTGACGCTTCCTGCATTTTTATGAAACCCTTGTTTTTACGCAACTTTTGTCGAAAATTCGCTGCTTTCTTCAGAAATGTGTGAATTTTCGTTAGTATTTAGGGCAAATACAAGCATTATCAAACCGCTGACGACCCTTCCCCGGCCGAAACAACTCTGCGTATTCCACTCATTAAACCGTCGAGTTTTAAAGGGTTTTTTTCCGAACGAGCATTTGCTGAGATGTCGGTGGCTGACGTAGACAAACTTTAGAAAATTATTGAAAAGTATCCAAGAAAACAAAAGCCAATTTTCTTGGCTTACGATCGCCAAAAAGCTCACGATATTGAAAAGGCTCCTCGTTTCCCGTAGCCAACAATTCATATCACGATAATGCCTATCGTCGATGCAACGCCTCGCAAAGATGGCTGCCTGAAAAGGGATTTTATTCCTGAAAATCTATCGTATCTATCAGTAAAAAGCGCAAAACAAACAATATGTTTCAAAGAGAAACCGCGGCTCTTCAGCCATGCCAATTGAATAACGGCCAATTCCGGGCATGCTTTCACCACAACCGAATATGGATTGGATGCGAGCAGGGAAAGACCTTCTAACGGAACCATCAAATCCTGCAAATTTCCTTTTAAATTGTAAATCATTTTATTTTGCCGCCTATGGCTAATCCATAAGGTTTCATTTTTCGAATGTTTTCAATAGTTTTTGACCGAGAAAAGTCATGCAAAATAGTCTACAGACCGAAAATTGCGGCCCCGTTTTTGACCAAAAAGTCAAAAATGGTAATAATCGAACAATGATACAAATAAAGATGGATAAAGAACATACGGCATGGCGAGTTTGTGGCCATACATACAATCCAACAGCACCCGACGTCACTCCGCGTAGAAAATGATTGAAGATGGCTATCGCTCGTTCGGCATTGCATCCAACCATTGTGATACCGATCTTTTTGCCGCGAGTCCTGTCAAATGTCAGAAATGTGGGTTCTGGACTGTTAGCGGGGGGACCAAATTCTTGTTTGTGATTCTCTACGGTCTTATACCGAGGCCTTATACACAGGTCCGTGCATCCACCCGAAATCCCGCTCGGATCCACCCGGTTTCCACTCGATTTCCATGCGTCCACCCGTAATCCACTCGATTTCCAGCCTGCATCCACCCCGAATCCACTCGATTTCCGTGTGGAATTCCCCTCGCATCCCCTCCGGGATTCCGAGTGGATTTCGGGTGGATGCACGGACCTGTGTAAATAGGCCGCTTCGCGACCCTTTTGAAGTCAAACTGTAAAGTGTCATATCTCGGGATGGAAGTGTTTCCGAAAAGTTTTTTGACTTGATCCTGAATCAGGTCGACGTGCGGAGCATTACATGAAATCTGGGGGGCCATGGCTCCTTCTCCATCCCTGACGAGCATTTCGATTCAACGCTCGACATGTGTTGTAATAGAAGCGACAGCGTGATGAGACGCCCAGCCAAATCATCATCATCTCTCCACAACGTGTCTCACACCAAACACTCAGCCTCTGTAATTTGTAGTCAAAATATTCGGTTCTTTCGCATTATCGGGGGGGTGGGAATTCCTCTTACTTTAGGAACCTTTTTTTAATATAAATGGTGGAAGTGTTTCTAAACTTTTTGCGCTTCCTAAACTTTACACATTACGTAAATACTTTACAAATTTTTATTAAAAAAAATCCAAAATATCGATTTTCGACCAAAATGACACTGTCTCGCCAAAATTTCCGGTTTTTGAAATTCTATACTTTGTATTAAGTGTCAAGGGATTTCGGGAATAATACGAAACCCTCCCGCCCCCCCGATAATGCGAAAGAACCATCTATCGATTGCTTACCTGTTTTCTGGCAGAGATCAGGATGTCATCAACATATCTTGACGCCGGCCAATAATCATTTTTGTTTCGGCATACCTAAGGTTTAATGGTGCTGGATTTTTAGCGGGGGGGGGCAAACATTCACAACAATTCTTTATGGCCCTACAACTAAAAATAACTCATTTTATAGTATAGCAAAATTCTCAACATTTTTGGTTGCAGGTGAAAAATTAATGAAAATATCCGAAATATGATTTTTGTAACTTTGAAAAGTGATTCAAAACATTGTGAAAATACATTAGTAATATTATCAGCATCTATTGATTAGTCCCTCCCCCCGCTAAGCGTACAGTACCGATACTTGAAGATACCTTTTTGGTGGCAGCTCTGAGATGATGCTTCTCCCAAAAACCGAGATGTCCATAGATGGCTTCTTGTAGTAGAGATGGTAATGACAGAAAGGGAAGAGAGGATTTTGGAGGGGGAGGGGCTGAGAGGACGAGACGTCGCTTCACACCCATTTCGTCAAAAAGAAGATCAGGCTTTGGTAGAATTACTGGTTCATCTGAAATAAATGATCCCTGCAGACGGCTCGAGAGCAGATCATTCGATATCTTATCAATTCTTCAATCTGCCCATCTGGAATGCACCTCTATGTTTGGCAATTATCTGACAACACTAATGTCTAGTCCACACCTTCTAATAGTCTTTCTACTAACATTAACCATATATTTGAGTGCAACGACGAGAAAGAAAACGGAGAAAAATTATTTAGATGGAATTTCTGTCCAAAATCGGCCGTTTTTTGTTGGAAAATTTTGAGTTTTTAAACCCAAATTTGTAACTTTTTACGTTTGTAAAAACCCGTTTCAAAAACATCTATTTAAATTAAAAAAAATTGGACGTTTAGAAAAAGCCCCCCTCCCCCCCCCGCCCAAAACTGTTGCGAAAGAACCGGATGCGGATGAAAATCGAGGAAAATGATGACATTCGACGGTTGAGGAGACGAACATGACGACCCTGGTGCCCGTCTCGGAGCCCAATTGGTCGTGTAGGACGCGTATGACGACATTACGCTTCAACAAATCACATTAGAAACACGGGGATTGTTGCGAGAACTGTAATGGTAAGGATTTCCATGGTAAACAATCTGTCTGAAAAGCCGCAACCTAAAAAGACACGCCAGTTTTCCGAGCTCGCTTTTCTGCAAGCACGAAAGGTGTATTTCCGACCTTTTCATTGTTTTTACCCGTTCAGCTCGACAGCGGCTTCATCGCTTCCGCTTCTCCCGGCTTCTCCTTCCCCCCCGGGGGCAAAGCCACGGGTATACGATCACTGGGTCACGGTATAGGGGAGGAGAGGGGCTGGGAGAGACCACCCGGCTGTCACATCCCCCTTTCCCTCTCACGGCGCCAACTCAAAACATTCTTTCTCAGTTGACCGCATACCATGGTGGCACCAAAGATTTCGGTGTCACCATGGTGAGGCGGAAAATCTCGGTGTCACCATGGTACGAACTCGGGTGACACCATGGAATGGGCCGGTCTGGTGTCACCATGGTTCCAAAGTCTGGTATCACCATGGTATGGACCAAGGCTGGTGTCACCATGGTACGTGTCCGGTGTCACCAGAGTAGACTTTTGGTGGCACCATGGTATGAAATCTCGGTGTCACGATGGTGAGCGCTCGGTATCACCGTGGTTTGCGAGTCGGTGGCACGATGGTACGGGATCTCGGTGACACCATGGTGAGGGCTCGGTGTCACCATCGTGTGACTGGAGATTGACCCCCATTTTTAATTAATTAAAATATATTTTATTTTGATTGTTTTCAAGCACAAAAACACTATGAAATTGCTAAGCACAAAATAATTTTAATTTTTTTTAAAGTGCCGGGTCGATCAATTCCGAGTATTGCAATGCAAGTAGATCAGTTTCAATAATACATCTTCGGGATAATTTCGAAAATTTTACGTTTTGGTTGAAATTCTATTTTCTAATTTTGATACAAACGGATGTATTTGTAGGGTTAGCGCCTTTTACATAAAAAAAAACAAAACCTTGGAGACACACAAAAAATGAAGCTTCTTCGAATAGTTGGGGTAAAAAGGTCGTTATTATCATTATAAAATAAATAAAAAGTATAAATTTATGCCATAAAATATGATTGTTAAAGTAAAGTTGCGTTTAGCAAGCTTTTTAAGGGCCGATCCATAGTTTTTGATGTCTGGTGACACCGTGGTACGGCTGGGTACGCGGCACTACTCAGTCCACTGCTACCACGGGCGCCCTTCGCATTTGAAAATGCATCGCCTGGCTCAAATTTTCTAAGTTTTCACCGCTGAAACAATAAATATGATAAAACTTTGTCTTTTAAAAGGTTAAAACCTTTATATCTTTGATATTAATGTATATTGCGATGTTTAGGCGATATGTGTTTAGAAAAACACTCACGACGGTGCAAGAATCGATGGTAAAAGGTGCGTATTTGGTGTTTTTGTTATGCCTCTTTGTTTCTAGGTAATCTGGGAGCTCGAATGCTGCTCCTGGATGATTGAAGACAAGAACTACGTCCGGAGATGGCTTCTTTGGTTAGGTTTGTGTTTAGTTTCTTCGGATTTGGCCTCCGCTCTTCCATTTTTGTCAGTTCTTTACCTGTTTTTGTCAGTTTTGCTACATTTTTCATAAAAAGTTAACTTTTTCCCAGCTTTTGTAATCCAAAAATGATTAAATTGGCTTGTCTGAGCAATTCAAGGGAATTTGGCCAGTTCCCCCACTAAAACGCCGGGCTAACTCCAAATTTTCCTAATATTGTAATTTTCTATTTTAGCAGAGCTTCTTCTGATGTGGCGTCGCTGATGACTTTGACTACATTTCTCGGTTTGGTATTCCCTTTGGAGGCGAAATTATTCTTAATTTTAGCTAGAGGATGGTCTTCTACCTCAGATGGAAGATGAAAATGCAATGGGCGATAGATCACACTGAAAAGGTTCGCGTTTTTTAACTTGTTTTTGGGCCTTTTAGGACAGTAACCATTTCGAGATTGCTTAACAAAACCTAGCCCTTTTCCGACTTTCAAACGCAAAATTCACCTAAATCAGTGCCTTGTCTTACAAAATCTTATAATTAATCTGGTCCTGTTTTATTACGCCGGAAGCAAAAAATTCCTGGGGGAAAATTGGCTCGTTATGGGGCGCGGTATGGTTATATTTTTCCGAATTCTTTTGATGGGTTTGATGCGATTCCATATCGGATCAAAAAATATGCTAACCGTTTGAATTGCAGCTCGAAATATAATTTAATATAAAAAGTTATTGCAAACATGAAATTCGTGTGAAAACTGATTTTTTGTAAAGCTAATTGGCTACATGATCCAAAAAGATACCGAAAGTTTTTATTTCCGCCCAAAATAACGTCAAACCAAAGCAAAAACCATTTTAAGACATTTCCCCGCACGAAATAGACTAGTATGATGAATTATCTTAGATATGTATCTTAATTATATTATTTAGTAATCAGATTTTGCCGAATGTTTTCTAAGTTTCATCTTTAGAGCGGCTGTTCATTGCGCGACTATGGAATTCGGCATCGCTACTTGGTGAATCAATGGCGGCAATGACAAAGCAGTGGTGCAGGTAGAGTTTTAGAGCAAATGGCGCTCAAAGGTACTTTTTTTTCATTTTTTTTCACTAAGTTTTGCTTTAATAACGTAATTTTGGCAAAGTTATTTCTCGTAAAACTTATTAGGGGCCTCTATAATATGATAAGGCATTTGAAAAGAGTAGTTTACGTCGTTTCGTACTTTATATACAACTTCCAGTATATTTCCTATTACGGGAATATACTGGAAAAGCCAAGCCAATATTATGTAAAAACCATGGTGACACCAGCGCCATACCATGGTGGGACCGAGCCCTCACCATGGTGACACCGGCCACTCACCATCGTGTCACCTTCGGTAGCACCTATTACGTTGCGGCCCGGTGACACCATGGTGAGCAACTTTGGTATCACCGCGGTATGCGGTCAACTGAGTTCCTTCACCCTTTTCTACCCCTTTAAACCCCTAGAAATTGATAGAAAACGATGAAAACTACTTTAAATAGCCGGTTTTAACTTTAAGACGATAAATTTTGTCCAGAAATCGAACAAATCCAATTTCTTTTGCAAGTTTTTGCTCAATAAAATAATTTTTTGGCGTGACCAATGGTTTTTCTCGCTTCAAATTTATTAATTGACATAGCAATTTCGATATTTGGTGGTAGAAATAGGAATCGAGGCTCAATTTCCCACATTTTTGCGAGAAAACTCGATGCCTCATCGTTTCCAATGTTTTCAAAACATTCCTCCCGCTTTTAAATGAGGCCCAGACGTTGCTAATTCATTGTTTCTCACCCGGAACCGTTAATTTACAAGATATTTTGTAAACTTTGGAACTAAAAACTTGTGTATAACGTTTTATTGCGTTTTTTCTTCATTTCCGAGCCTAAAAACGGGTTTTTCGCACTTGTAAAAGCTGTTGCTTAGGTGTCAGACAAAATGGAAGATGATGGGGATGACGCTCGATGGCTTCGGAAGAGATCGCTGCTTGAAGAGATCCCGATCAACGTGCCGGAAGAGGGAAATGAAGCGAAGAACGGACGGTTCGATGTCAATGACTGCTCACAGCGCTCCCAAGGTACATTTTTAGCATTAAAAAAAGCAAAATTTTATCATGGTTATCGGCTAAATTTATTATTGGGCGTTTCTAGCATCGAAAAATAGGGTTTTCTTGATTCGCAGACTTCTTTTTTGAGATTTTTCAGTTTTCCGAGGTCCTAGCGCTTAGTTTCCTTCAAAAATCACCAAAATTGGCCCTGCACTTATGTTTTATACGTTTTAAATTGTCAAATGCTATTATTTCGATCTTCACAAACGGTTCGATTGCTTCTTTGGACGTTTCTGGTTTGGAAAAATACGATTTTTCTTGATTTTCAGGCTTTTCCAGGTTTTTAACACTGAGTTTCCTTCAAAAATAGCCAAAACCGGGCCTAAATTTGTTTTTTTTCTAAGTTTAAAATTGTGAAATTTGTAGGTCTAAAATTTATTTCCCTTTTTCAGACCCCGACCTGCTCGAAGTTGCCGGATTCCGCGAATTCCTCGCCGCCCATCCACAATCCTGGGATTGGCTTAACGCCTGTAAGCCGCTTTTTTAATTACTATGATCTCGGCCTACTTTCCAGGCGGCAGCGAGCGGTTCAAGATCGGATTCGGCCTGTTCTGGGTGGTGGAGCACGAGCAGAACGAGCTGCTCCAATATCTGCTCAAGCTCGAGCCCGAAAAGTTGGTGATAGCGGCCAGATTTTAACTTTATTTTAGGGCGCTTTGTATGGACAACGACGGCCGGACGGCGCTTCACCACGCCGCCTCCCTGCTCAACGTCGACGCGTGTAGGATGCTGCTGGAATGTCGGTTTTTGGCTTGGTTTTTTTGCTGAAAACTCTGCTCCGGGCTAAAAACGGCGTTTTGCCATGTTTCAGCGTTTACCGACGTCGCAGCGGCTTTTTTAAAGCTACAAAATCTAAATAATTAGCAAATTCAGGCCAGAAAAAGCTCTATTTTTTCTAAAACCTGTAAAATTTGGTCAAAATATGTGGTTTGTAAAGATAGAACCCTGGTTATTAGAAATATTTGGATTTTTTAGGTTCATAATCGAAATTTTCAAAACTTTAGACCAGGAAAATCTCCTTTTTTCAAAATTTAGGCCAAAAAATGCTAGATTTTCGAAAAAACAACAAAATTGGAAGTTTTTAGAGTACTTTTTACAAGGATTTAGATATATAAAGTCTTCTAGGATTATAATTACAAAAAATTGGAACAATTTATGCCAGAAAAAGCCTTATACCGATATTTTTCAAAATTTGGGCTAAAAAAGAGGAAAATTTTAAAAAAGACTGATTTTTATATTTAGGAAATCTGTTTTATTTAATTGATAAGATACCAAATATACCACGTAAAATTGCGGTTTTTTTAGGTGGCGCCGACCCGGTGGCCCGGTGCAAGAAGGAGAGAACCCCGCTGATGTGGATGGTCGAGAAAGCGACGAAGGATACGGAAGGGGAGGGACAGCCAAGGAATCAACCTCGAACCAAAGCCCCACCACCCAATTCTGGCCCCACTTTCAATGCCATCACCACCATCACTCGGCTCTTCTATGAGAAGGTATTTTAATTTTGTACTTGTGCATTATCGGGGGGGGGGGAAGTGATTGTGTCTTTTCATATAATTTTTTTCCTAAAATACCGATCTTTCGACTAAAATTTTGAATTTTTATAGATTTTCCCGGTTGTTTTAGATAGTTCTCGATTTTAAACGAGTTGATTTTGCTTTTAAATTTTTTTTAAGAAATTTTGGGTTTTTTTTTGGTTAAATTCAGTTCTTTTTTTATTAAAAACTCGCTATCACATTGCTAGGCATTTCTGGTGTTATGCGACCCCCCGATAATGCCAAAGAATCAGTTAATCTGATTTTTTAGACGAATCTCGAGCCAGATGTCGTCAATCGTGTCTTCGGTCAAGAACTCATCACAAGTGTGTTTTTCGATGGTTTTCAAAGATTTTCTATGGGTTTTTTTTTCTTTTTTTATGATTGCCTTTAAGAAGGCTTTTTCTGAGTTTTATTTTAGAAGCTGAACATGGTTTTCGATTTTTAAGATATTTATAGAGAGATTTGGCAGTGTTTAATAACTTTATAAAGATTTTTGAATGATTTCTAGGGTTTGTAGCCTTTCTAGTTATTTTCTGGGCTTTTTTTAGAGCTTTCTAGATTTTTTCAGGTTTTTCTAGAATTTTATACAATTTATTAGGGTTTTCTATGATTATTTTAGACCTGATTTGTTATTTCAGGGGCTTTCAACAAGTACTGGGAATCGTTGGCCGTGTGGTTCCTCTCTACATTTGTCCGCGCGCCCATCCGCTTCGAAGAGCACGGCAATTTCCTCAATTTCGACGACGACTCCACCCAGACCTTGATGGTACTTTTTATTTTTATTTAATTTAATTTTTTATTAATTAAATTGAAAATGTTTATCTATTTAATTTTAAATTTTGTTTGCTTAATTCAAGACACGAATTTTTGATGGATTTTTCCAAATTTTAATTTTAACTGGATTTTAAAACGCCCCGAATTTAATCGCTTACGCGATGGAAATATGCGTACGTCGCGTGTAGCGCTGCGAAAAACCAATAGATTTTCTTGCCAAAGCCTTTAAAAACACACAAATTTTTAATCCATTACGCGATGCAAATGGGCGTGCGTCGCGTGTAGCGCTGCGGAAAACGATTAATTTTCTTTCCAATCCCATTAAAAATTAATTAATTGTTTTCAGCGTATCCCCGTGCAGCAGCGCGTGTTCTTCCATGTCTACTACGCGGCCCACCTCGGCTACAGGGTCAGTTTTAGAGTTTAAATTGATCTCCGTATTTTTTAGAAGTATCTTCGCCGAGTCGCATCGATCGATTTCACGCAATTTGAGCATGGCTGCGACAAGCTGATCGCCCATGCCGTCAGCAACAATCAGTACGAGACGGTGCACGTCATCTGCAAGCTGTTCATAGGTGCGTTTTTGATTGTTGATATTCTTGAAAAATTATTGTTTTACTCCGATTTTTTAAGCGCTTTTTTCGAAAAATTTAAATCCAGTATTTGGCCCATTTTTGCGCTGAATCTGGATCTACAGTAATCTATAGTCATCTGTAAATTGTTAAAAGGCCGTCCGCGACTCACCCGAACAGCCCCCCTTATGACTTGGCACAGTTTTTTTCGAGCCCGTTTTTTTGACGGCATCGGATAGAGCATGGTCAAATTAGTAGGGCTGCATAGTTTTGAAAGTTTAAAAAGTTTAATTCTGGGGTTTAAATCGGCGTTAAAGTTGCCGACCTCAAAAAACTGTCTCGAAAAATACCCAACAAAATTTGCTAAAAATTTGTGACAATACTAATTTTGGGGTGGGGATCATTTCTCTAATACATTGTGAAGCATGAAAATGGCCGGAACGTGATTAAATCAAATACTAAAAACAGTTTTTCGACATTTTCGACATTTTAGAGAAACCGGCGCATATTGGCTATATCATAGGCAGACGCACCTCACGTTTCTGCATCGAATGGTGTATCGCTTGATATGCGCCGACTTCTCTAAAAATTAGTTTTATCCGCTTTTATGTGTGAAAATGTGGGTAAAATTGACCCCGAAAAATGAAAATTTTTGCTTTCGAAAATTCTGAGATATGGGATCGCATCTAGAGACCCAGACGAGTCGATTGCAAAAAAGAGCAAAAAGAAATTCCGTTTCTTTCGATGTCGCGGAATCGAACCCGGACCCTCCGCCCGAGAGCCCTGTGGCGCAGTCAGTAGAGCGTCGGCGTGCCAATCCATAGCCGCCGCCAGTTCAATCCCAGCCCCCTCTCAGGAGCCGAATTTCTTTTTGCTCTTTTTTGCAATCGACTCGTCTGGGTCTCTAGATGCGATCCCATATCTCAGAATTTTCGAAAGCAAAAATTTTCATTTTTCGGGGTCAATTTTACCCACATTTTCACACATAAAAGCGGATAAAACTAATTTTTAGAGAAGTCGGCGCATATCAAGCGATACACCATTCGATGCAGAAACGTGAGGTGCGTCTGCCTATGATATAGCCAATATGCGCCGGTTTCTCTAAAATGTCGAAAATGTCGAAAAACTGTTTTTAGTATTTGATTTAATCACGTTCCGGCCATTTTCATGCTTCACAATGTATTAGAGAAATGATCCCCACCCCAAAATTAGTATTGTCACAAATTTTTAGCAAATTTTGTTGGGTATTTTTCGAGACAGTTTTTTGAGGTCGGCAACTTTAACGCCGATTTAAACCCCAGAATTAAACTTTTTAAACTTTCAAAACTATGCAGCCCTACTAATTTGACCATGCTCTATCCGATGCCGTCAAAAAAACGGGGCTCGAAAAAACTGTGCCAAGCCTTGTTCGGGTGGCTCGCAAACGGTCTTTTAATATCTTACATCAGCTCGAAAAACTAGGCAAAACTTCTCTATAAAATTTTATTTTGAGATTTTTTGATGATTTTATGGGTTGTTTTTACAGAAAACGATGCCGAGGAGGCGCTGCAACGTCTTCTCAACGTTCACCTATTTCGAAATCGCTCCCTGACGACGATGTGGTACGCCGTGTACCGCCTCAACTACCCCACAATCGAACTGCTGCTCTCCATGGGTACGTTTTTAGGGTTTTTTTAACGTTGAAGAGTTTTCTACACTTTTTTAAGAATAAAAAATAATTTTTAATTACCTAAAAAGATGGTAACTTTCGATTTCAAATTTTTTTAGATATTTAAATTTGGCTATTTAAAAAATTAAATTAACAAAATTAATTGCTAAATGAGTATAAAACTTTATTTATAGTTTATTTGAACTCTTTTTTTTGCAGGAGGCAACATCGACGAGCGCTGCGATTCGCTGGATCGTCCAGATAGAATGGAATGGGCATATCGACGAGCGATTATGCATGACCGAGCGGATATTCTCGAGTTGTTGATCATCCACTACAACCAGCACAACAAGCGATTCCCCGTCGGACAGGTACTCAGCATTGTGTTTTCTTAAAATTCGAATTTTGAAAAATTAATTTTGTCGAAAATTCGAGATTTCAAAAAAGTTGCTGTTTTTGTCGAAAATTCCAGTTTGAGAAATTAATTTGGCCGAAAATTCGGCATTTCGAAAAACTCCTTTTTGACGAAAGTTCAGAATTTGTTTTTCGAAAATTCTAGTTTTGTCGAAGATTCGGAATTTTGGAAATGTCGAAAAACCATTTCAATTAAACGCAAAATTTTACAAAAAAAATTCAATTTAAAAATGTACAAATAATTATTTTTATTTTATTTGCAGATAAACAAGCTGTGGGGCTATTGTGTGGATGATGGGGCGATTGAATGTCTCCGCGTCATCGACAATCACTTTGCCCGCCCCAGATGGTCATTTCTCGCTGAGGTTCGCTAGCTAGCCGTGATTTTTGAGGAATTTTCTCCCTTTTTTGCAGGATTGGGATCCGCAGACGTATGTTTGTCGTTGGGTCGAAGATTCGGAATTTCGTGCCTAGTACGTTTTAGTTAAATTGATTTTAATTTGACTATTTTAAGACTTAAATTTATTTCGTCTAATTATTTTAGAATTTAAATTAATTTAGTTCAGTTAATTATCGTATTTTTTGTTTGTTTTTTTGCTGCAATTTTTTATTCTGGCGTTTGATTTTTGGGTGCTTTTGCCTTATCGGGGGGTAATTTGAAGCTACTGAAAAATTAAAAATTCATTTTTTTTGTAAATTTTTATAAACATTTTTAATATTTTCAAAATTTAATCAATTAATTTTTAATTGTCGATTTTTTTTCAGTATGCCGGGTATTTCGTTGACGCAGAAATTCCTGCGCGAATGCACCCCCTACTCGCGGCGGGAACCGAATCGATTGTGGACGGATATGGGACGCTGTCTCCGGGCCCTCAAGATTATTATCGACGGAGAGGTATCCCCCATTTTTATTATTCATTCAATTTCATTGTACTAATTTTTATAGATTTTGGTATTTTAAAAAATTTAGCATTTTTGAAATGAAAATTAAGAAGTCTTTTTATTTAGCTTTGTTAATGAAATTTTGACTATTATTTTTTAAAGCCGATCTTCTGCCAAAAATATTTTTATTTTAGTTTTCTAATTTTAAATCATGAAAAATTGTATTTTTTTGTTTAACGATGCTAATAACTATTTTTTGAGCTGAAAATTTGTTTAAATCTAGCATTTTTGATTATCTAAAAAGCCGAAGTTAATTAACCAATTTATATTTATGTATTAATTGAATCTAATTTATTTTAATTCAATTTTCAGAACCCAGAAGACATTGGCTGGGCCCTTCAGATGGAGATGTTATTCGTGATGCCATTCGTCCGTTGCCATTCTATTCGAAAGATTATCCTCCAATCACTCCCCAAATGGCCATTCCGCGACGATACTCTTTTCGATCAATTTGACGGGCCCATCATTAAGGTACGGCCTTTTTTTATTCGTAGGAAATCTACAGGCTTTTCCACGTCTTCAACACGTTCAGGCTCATCTTAATTTTTGGCTAAAAAATCAAACTATTTTTTATGGGATTTTAAAAGCGCTTCAGAAAATCGCAGCCCCTGAACGGCTTGAAATTGTCGGCCTGTATCGCATTTCGGGGCTAGATTTTTATTTAGCTCAGATCTACGGGTGTCGACGACTTCAGGAGGTTCAGGATTACTCTGATTTAAGACGCCAAAAAGCTATCTGTCGATAAAAGCTCTTTGGAAATGGCCAGCCTGAACTGCTTGAACTCGTCGGATTTAAATCTTTTAATTTTACTATGCAAGAAACTGTCATTTTTCAGCACTTTGCGCGTGCGGAGGGTCTGTATCCGGGTGTTGGCCAAGATGTGATGCGATATGGATTGAGAATGGAGATGAAACAGGTAATACATTTTTACTATCATTTTATTTTTGATATTTTTTATTCAGAAAGTATTTATTTAACGAATTTAAAAAGTCAAATTGTATTTTAGGATTTAAATTAATCAGTTTGTTTTAGTGCCCGTGTTGTGACTGCAAGACAGCCGATGCGATCAACCCTCGTCGTTCCCTCGTGTCCCTGACCATCAATTGTTCCGAATTCTTCCTCCGTATCCCAATGTGTCCCAAGATGAACGCCTACTTTCGAGTATGTTTTTCTGTATTTACTGATTTTTGTAGCATTTTAAATTGTTTCAATTTTTCGAATTTTAAATTACGAAGCGCCGTATTTTTCGCGAAAATGGAGATTTTGTTTGCCGAATTTCTGGTTTTTTTTTAGATTCACAAATTAAATTATATTTTTAAATATTTTGCAAATTTTAAATTTGAACGCCGGATTTTCCGATTTTTTGCCTGGCCAGTCCCTTTAAAAATTACCAGTTAATTTTAAAATTTAATAAATATTAATGGTTATTTAATTTAAATATAGCTATTTTTTTAATTTTATTAACTTTTCATTTTAGATTTGATTTAAAAAAAATACAGAAATTTGAAAAATTTAGGTAAAAAAAATAAATTTTCGATATTTTAAAATAATCCTTTTTTTCAGGAAGCCAAGGGCTGCGAGAACGTGTGCCCAATCGCGTCCCTGGCCTCTCATTGTCGTGCCACTATTCGTCGTCAAATCCCAATGAATCGACTGGTTGATGATGAGGAATGGGTAGATGATCTTCTCAGAGATATCGGAGTACGCGACGATATCAAACAATATCTTCTACACAAAGCCCCCGCTCACACTCACTTTCGAGTGCCCGAAGGATATGCTCAGCCTCCTGCTCAAGTTGACGCTCCGGCTGCTGAACCTGTTGCTGATGACGCGATGGATGTCGAACCGGCTGAACGTGGTGCTGACGTTGCTGAGGATGCGATGGATGCTGAACTTGTTGCTGGCGTGCCGGTAGCCGTGCAACCTGCCGAAGCTGTCGCGGACGCTGCTATGGACGCCGAACCTGTTGCTGACGTTGCTGAGGCTCCTATCGATGTTGAACTTGTTGCTGAGGTGCCTGGAGTTGCCCAACCGGCTGAACTTGTCGCTGACGCTGCTATGGACGCCGAGCCGGCTGAACGTGTTGCTGATGATGCCCCAGCTGCTTCGCCTGCCTCGTCTACTGCTTGATCTCCTGCCCATTTCCCCAATGATCTCTGCTTGATTGCCCCTCTTTTTCGTCGACCCGTGTCTAGTCCCCCCTCTTTATTTCGCAACCACAATAAATCGGGTGTTGTCTTTCTGTCTTTCTTTCTCTGCCCCTTGCTTGCCCTCCTTCCCCCTGTTGTTCATCTACCGCACCCGGACTTCGAGGCCTAAATCCCGACCCTAGGATACAAACTACAATTTTTGTTGGTAGTTAGCCTTTGTAGTCTGTAGTCTCTGCCCGAGTCCAATTCTCAAAATTAATTTTAAGCCCTTTTAAAAAATCTAAATTATGGCGCATTCCAATAAACATTTATCCCATTACGCCATCAAATAAGAGAAATTATTGAAAACAGCTTTTTGAAGAGCTATTCAATTTCTGGAATACCGTGAGAAACGAACAATTTTTGGGCGAATTTTTAATAGATATTTGTGTGATTACGCGATGGAATACGAGCTATTGGGGCTGACATGATTACGGCTTTTCGAAGAGTTATTGATTTCGACAATTTTTTCACTTTTAGACAATTTTTATACCTTGAGAAACGGGCTGTTTTTTGGCTGGGTTTTTCTTGGAAAATCCGTTAGATTTTCGGTTACGCCATGGAATTCGGGGCGTAGAAATTATGGATTTAAAAAGAGTGATAGATTTTTTAGGCTTTTTTGCGTGGTGAAGCGGAATTTGCTTATCCGATTACGCTATGAAATATCGGAATTTGAAATTATCGATTTACAAAGAGCTTTTCCTTGTTTGGACCTTGAAAAACGGACCTTTTTTAGAGTTTTTTACTGAGACCGGATCAGCTTAGCCGTTTATGCGTTGAAAATACCGGGAAAACCCGGCTTTGTGGCAGTTTTTAGAAATTTTTATACTGGCAATGCCTTTTTGACTTTTTAGAAATCATGAAGCCAGGGTTTTTTAGGCGCGCTTTTCCCTGGTGAAATCTTCTAGGTTTATCTGGTTACGCCATGAAATGCGAGCAATTAAAAACTACAGGTTTTTAAGAGCTATTTGATTTTTGCCTGCAAAATCGACAATTTTAGGCGTTTTCTTTGACAAATCCCGATCCCCGCCAGCCATTCAATCGGGGCTTATCTTCTTCTTTTGCAGCAGAAGCCCTCCGCGTTCTTCTTCTTCTTTTTTTTGCCGTAAATCGATGGATTCGGCTTCTGCTACCTGTCCGGCTGATAGCTTCTTCCCCCCGGCGTGTCAATTTATGGGCTCGTTCAAGCCATCCGATTACGCCAGGTATTTTCTAGAAAGTTTTCGCGTTTTTTGGACTCTAAAACTACTAAAAAATTTTTGAATTTGACGTTTAGTTCGGTTTATAGATTAATTTGTTTGCTGCTTTATGAGCTTTAATTTCGGTTCTTTCGCATTATCGAGGGGGCAGCTTTTTTACCTAATTTTGACTCTATAGCATGTTACTTTTTCAAATCGTAAAATTTCGCGAATTTTTAGAAAAACGCAAATATTACGATTTTTTGGTCCAAAAATCGGTAATTTTTGACGGAAATTTAGACTTTTTGAAAAAGTTATAAGGTTTTTAATCGTTTTTCCAGTTTAAATATAGCTTTAATTTACTAACAATATTATTATAATACTTGGTAATAAGTTACTAGGCATTTCTAGGTTTATACAAAATTCGTCCCCCCCCCCGATAATGCGAAAGAACCTTAATTGCTATTTGTTTCTAGCGGTTTTTGTCGTCTTTTGAGTTTCCGATTTAGCCTTTTAATGCATATTTTTTAGTTTTAATTTCGGTTTGAAGGAGCTAGTTTTGCGCAGTTTTTCGATTGTTTCTTTCCTGTTATTCGTTGTTTAGGCAATAAAACGCTGAGGGGGGCTTTTGGGCGTAGATTTATTACCATTGGCTGGCAGCTATTTCTTATTGGTTTATATTGACCGTTAATCAAGGGCCTAACCCCTCGCCAAATCTGCACTTTCTACGTATTTTAGGCAGCCAATTTTTCACCTACAATTTTGGCGTTATGGCCTGAAGTTAATGAATATTTTTCGAATATTTCTTTTTTAGATAGTTTCTGTCCTTATACGCGGAATTTTCCTCAAAGATCCCGGCCAGCTGCAATTTATGGCGAGATTTGTGCATTTTTCTATGCATTTTGCCTTTATAATCCCTCTAAGATGTCGATGGAGTTTTTTCGAAGGGCACTGGGCTATTAACGGGGGATTTTCCACAGTAATTCTTTAGTTGCGAATATTTTTTTGCAATTTCGCTAGAGATCAAAAATATTGAACATGTTTTAAAACAAGCTATATTTAGCTGGAAAGAGTAAAATACGTTCCCCCCGCTAACAGACTAGTCCCTGGTAGTCAAGTGGCAGCTAGATGGTTGAGATGATGAATATCTGAAGTACCCCCTCCCATCCCCTTTCTATGCCCCTAATTCGTTTACAGTCCAATATCCGCTTCTTCAAAGGATCCAGCCCGCCCCTGACTGGCAGAGGCCCTCCTTTTATTATAGGCTGTCATCTCCAGCCCCCCCCACCCCTTACTAATTACAAATCCTCACGCTCGCCAGATTTTGGAGTTTCAATTTCGGGGCCGTTTGCTATGGAACTGTGAGGTACGTAGTTTGTAGCTAATCGTTTCATCTTTCTGTCAGCTAATTCATCGTTGAAAAGTACATTTCTAAAGGCATTTTTTCATCGAAACTTTCCGTTTTGTAATTTATTACGGGATAATTAAAAATCTCGTCGCACGCCGAAGTTTGTAGTTTCAATTTTCTTTACCACAATAAGTCGCTAAACCACAATTCATCGTCGAAAAGTGATTTTCTAAAGGCACTTTTCATCGAAATTTAGGTTTTGAAATCTCTTCCAGCTGCCAGCCAGCGGTCGTTTTTTGCAGGATCACGCCAAGGTTTTATTTCGTAGCCTTAATTTTGCGCGTCTAGAGACGTTTTTGAATTTTTTGTTTGAAGGGTTTTTTTTTAATTCAAAACAGGCCTTTTTCAGGTTATCGCTTGGATTTGTTGCCTGTGTTTTTCTAATCTGTAGTTTTTAGTTTTCAGGGCACGTCAACTGCCTGCCATTTCATCGTTTTACAGTATCGCCACCCAACAAGGAGCTTTTATTCAGATTTTTCTTGACTTTTTCACTCTGTCGCCTGTAGTTTATCGCTGCTTTTTCTGGCTCTTCAGCTCGGCGTTGGAACATTTACTGTATTTGCAGTTTGTAGTTTGAGTTTAGGTCAAAATTTCGCTATTTTTCGCGTGTAGCCAGTTGTTAGTCAGTTTGTTTTTAGGTAATTTTAGCTGTATTTTGTATTTTTTAGTCGAATTTTCGTTGGATTTTACCGTATTGCTCTGCTTATCGATTGATGCACACGTTAATAGGCATCAAGCGGAATATATCAATATTTGAGTGTAGATGGATGGGTGGATGTGGATGGATATTAGGATTAGTTTGTTCAGCTGCTGTCCCCTCCCCTCCCTATGCCTTCTGTATGTCGTGATGGCCTTCCCCCTTCCCCTCCCCAAAAATGGTCGATCCACACTCAATCCACTCCATTATCATACTCTTTACATAGCACCTAGACCCCCTCTAAAACCACTTGATGTAACTGGCTGACTAGCAGAGACCATTAGGGAATTGTCAGCTAGCTGTTTGCACATTTTTTTGTTCTTTTGTCAATCGGTGAGCGGGTCATTTTCACCATTTTTTTAGAGTTTTAGCGCTTTTTGCAGATTTTGAAGAGTTTTTCTGATGGAAATCTATTTGAATTTACCGGCTATCTAGCAGAGACCAATAGAGAATTGACGGCAAGCTTTTTTGAAGCCTTTTTTAGGCTTTTGCCAGCTTTTATGTTAGATTTTTAGCGATTACGCTTTTTACGGGGGTTTTTCCCGGGTGGAGACTTAGTTTTTTGGAGATTTTTTGGCTTTTCTTCAATCAGTGAATTTGTCATTTGTCCGGTTTTCAATTTTTAACATGTTTTTAGAAATCATGAAATTTCCTCAAGAACCCATGCTAGCTGACCGGCAACGAGTAGCATGGTGCCATTGGGATTTTCCTGACGTTTTCCGAAATGCTCCATGCTAACCTGCCTGGATCAGCTCTATCCGAGCTTGGGGCGCGGCTCCTAAATGATCCCTGCCAGTTACCCAGCAATTTAGGGTATTATTTAGCTTTGTTGGCAGTCAGTTCAGGAAAATCAATGGAGCTCTGCTAGGCTGCCCGAGCGGATTTTGGAGTTGTTTTCACCAAACTGGCAGGCGGCCGGCCTATTTATACCATTTTTTTCGATTTCCCGATTCCTAAACGACCTCTGCTAGTTTCTAGAATGGATTTTTCCGTTTTTTTAGCTAAACTGGCGGCCAGTAGGCCTATTGATCCAATTTTTCTCATATTCCCGATCCCCGTTTTCTCGTTATTGGTGAAGAAGAAGATCCCCCTCTCTTGGATGCACAATCCACATCTGGGTCCCGTTCTGGGTTTATGGCCCTCTATCCCCCCAGCTCTAGAGTCCCACTCCCCTCTCACAGCAGCCCGAGATTCGAGACCACCACATTCCAGATGGGCTAGCTAGCAGAGAGAATTTAGGAATTGATTTTTCTATTGAATTTCGTGTCGATTTTATCATCGGTATTCCCTCGGAATTTCGCCATTCCAGTTGGGCAACCTAGCAGCGACCATTTAGGAATTGATTCTTCTTCCCGAACGTTGTTTTTCGATGTTTTTGACTACAGACTACAGATTTTTTCCGAGCTAGGGGGCAAACTGGCAGAAACCATTTAGGAATTCAAGGTTCTTGATTGACAATAGCTAGATAGTAGGCCAAAGGCAAGCTAGCAGAGATCCTTTAGCATTGCATTTTCGTCTTTTCTGGGCTACAAACCACTACCCGACGCTTCTAGAAGACACGATTCTCTTTTCTGACTACCGTATTCCCTTCCAGTCAGCTTCAAAGGGAGTGTAATGTGTTGTGTCCCGGAGGGGAATGAGGAGGAGGAGGACGA